CGCCCAAGATCTAGGCAGCGCTCTGCAGGGAGACAGCGGGACACAGCTCTGAGAGCGTCAACTGCGGCTCGGCCCCAAATGCTCCAGCTTTGGCGCGCCGGCAGGGGCGTCAGGACAGGGGGCGCCGAGGGAGGGCCAAAGTAGCAAGGCGGACGCCAGCCTCCTTCTTCCTCCGCCTTCTTTCTTTTCCTGCTTGCTCCACGTAGCACAACTCAACAACTCCTGCACCCCCAGACTCCCACCCCCTAGCTCATTCTCTTACCTGGTGTGACACCCCTAGAATTCCTACCCTTTGCGCTTCCCCTCCCCCATTCATTTGCCGAACTTCCCGCCCCGGCTGCCTAAGCCTCCCATTCATTATCTTACCAACCCCCCCCCACCCCCCACTGCCCCTGATCAGACACACCCGAGGCGGGAGCCCCGCGGCTGCCTGCTCGGAATCCCTACCCCCTCCCTCCAGTGCTCACCTCAGCATCCGACAGCTGGCAGCGGGGTTCGGGTGGGTTCCCCGACACGTTGCATTTTCTTTTTGTGGCTCTTCTCTTCCCACTTGAAAAGCTCTGGGAAACATCGCGGGGCCCGCAAAACCCCTGAAGTATATGGCCTCTCGTAGTTCAGTTTCTAAACTTTCCAGAAGGCACAAAGTTTCTCCCAGTGCAGCGTTTAAGTGGAGGTTGCAAAGCAGGAAGAATCGACTTCGCTGCTGGAAAGGTGCACACGTTTCTATTTAGGAGTTTTCGATTCACTGGGTCTGCAGACCAAAGCAAGTGTGACTGTGTGTGCTCCCTTAGTTCTCTATATCCATAATTGTAAATTTCTCTTCCGCTTTCCCAGTGAAACTTCGCAAGTGCAAACTATCAAGTTTAGAAGAGTAATTAAGGGCGGGGAATGCGCACCTGGAGGTGTGGGCGGGAGCGGCGCGGGACTCAGGCCTGGGGATCGTTCTCGGGAAAGTGCAGCCACAGAGATTCGATCAGATCTCGTAACAACGCCCAGTCAGTCAATCGGGGGCTCTCCAGCCGTGCCACCAGCCACCCACCACTTCCCACTTCTGGCTTCCCAGGATTTCCGGAGGGTTGGCAAATTCTCTGCCTCTCGTTCCACTGCTAAAGCCGCCACACATCAAAAATAGCTGCTTGAGAATAAAAAAAGTTTGGTGAACTCTCGTCTGAAATGTCATCTAGGAGGCCACGACAGCCGTATGGCAGAAGACTGGGCAGAACTGCTACGACTGCATCTAAGAAAGAAATGCAGCACAGAGAGGCAGGGCTGCATTGGTGGTGGTCACTCAGTAACCTTGGTCTTCGCAGAAAGGTCACTATAAACCACAGTGGGCGGGACGGGAAACCTTGGAGGAGGTGGAAAATCCAGGCTTCCGGGGAGTATGCTTCGAGGGGAACATGATCACCTCCTTCCAGGGACTGCTGAGAACCCTTGACTGGTTCGCCTTGTGGTTTTCACAGGATGCTCAAGGCTAAGCCCTGGCTCCTGGTCAATTACTATCTGAAGCTGTTTCCTTTTTAAAACAATCTATCAATTCTCCTTTTTAAAAAAAAAAATAATAATCAACTTTAAATGACTCTGCTTTCTCTCTTTTCCTACCAATTTATGATTTAGTTTACAATAATCCACTTAAAATGTGAAAAAATAGAAATTTTAATACATGCACTACTAATATATTCATATAAAACATGCAGAAACGCACATAGTCTTATCTCACAAATAATGAGAGTTGATCTTAAACTCTAAAAAAATATATCGGGACAAAGAAAAATGTACACTATAAAATCTAAGTATAATAAAAACTACACATTGGTAAGAAAAGAATATACTGAAAGAGACTTTTGTTTCAACAATAGCTTTACACAGAAAAATCTCTCAGCTGATTTTCCTGTCTCCTCCTTGCTACACATTTTTTTATTTACTGTTAAGTTTCTCAATACCAAAACTTCTACATCTAGTGAAAAGAATATTTAAAAATTTTTATTTTAAAGAAATTATATTAATTATATCAATATTATTAAATAATTATTTAATTAATAACTAACTATTTCAATGTTTAGTTCTTCCTCATAAATCAAAGGTAAAGTGAAAATGAGTTTTTTGTCTACTAGTCAGCTTGGATATTTTTCAACATAGTGATTTTATCTCTTACTGTCTTAAGAAATATGGCTGCTTCTGCTTTGACTATATATTATTAACTGCCTTAACTACTCTGTGCTCCTTTCTAACATCAAATAAGGAGTTCTATCCACACAAGACGTGAGTATTAAGGAGTTCTAAGTTACTTGCTGTAAAACATTTTATGTCCTCTTTATTTGCTCTACCATGGCCTGAAATGGAATGGAGAACAACAAACAAGGTCAGCCTGGACAGACCTGTCTTCTGGAAAGTGCAGACCTGTCTGGATGTAAGTGCTCTACAGCTAGCTTTAGGTCAATAACTTTAAAATCAGATTCTGTTCAGCACATAGATTAATCCATCAAAACTAGTACTGTGTTCCAAATGAGCCAGTTCTGTCATCTGTGAAATGGGATGATAATACAAGTACAGTCTGTTGTATTGGGTTCCAAGTTGTCTTTATCAAAGTAAGATATTTGAGCAGGCTTGTTAAAACACTAAAGTGGATGTTGTTTCAACAGAGATGAGAGAGGGATACCTTGATATACTTTCTTTAATGCTTTTATCTGTCTGTAGCCCTCCTGCCATTCAGTTACTCCCTTTCATGGATAGGCACTCTAATACTTTCTGTCCTGCTGTCCTCCCTTATCCTCTGCCAAGCAATGTCTCTCTACATTTGTTTCTTCAAATGACTTCAGCAGCACCAAATATTCAGACAGCTGGTGTCAAATGTGAGAAAAAATATTTTCAGCAAAAGGAAGAGAATTTTAATGAGGGATATTTCAAGTCGAGTTTACATTAATAATTTAAGGATAACGTAGACCTTGTCAGATTATTGACGTTACCTAGTAATCCGAGGACTATAATTTGTGAAGCATTTAGGATTGAAAAATTGGTTGTCACTACTTTGGGCTCTGTTTGTTCAGAAAGGTTTGCAGGTCATGCCAGTTCTCCCTTCCTCCCCATGCTCCCTTCCATCTGGCAAAAAGCCTTTGAAATTTTCTACTAGAGAGTAATCAAAACTATCAGCAAAAATATCTGTTGGAAACTAAAAGTCTAATTATGTAGAGACTGATTCAAAGAATATATTCTTGTGAAACAATACCCTGAGAGAATTCAGCCTGCTAAGGAAAGTTTTTCAGATGTCCCCAGGCAGAGGTGTCTCCTTTTCAAAATGGAATATTTGTGCCTCTCCAGTGTTTTTCCTCTTAGCTAGAAAGAAAACATTCTTCTTAGGAAACCTATTTTAAAAGGCCAGTGGCAGAGGTGAGTGAGGCAGCCCAGTTTAGTAAACAAACAAAAAAAAAAACAAAAAACAATGACACTCTTCAGGGTAGAAGTGGCGTAAAGAGACTCCAGGAATGGGTGTTTTGGGGATTGTGTGTGCAGCAGCCTTGTATGAGGACTAGACTACAAAGAAATGAAACCCATAAAGAGAGTGACTCTGTGCTCACCTTTTCTGACAGCATGTTTCTGCATGAATAATCGGTAATGTCTGAGGTAGATCAAGGACAAGCAAATCCTGCAGTCTCCCTTCACCCAAATAAGAAGGCTTCACTCTAAAACAAAGGGAGGGAGGAAAAAAGAAAATGAAGAACAAAAATATATGTGCATTTTATATATACATATATATGTG